TATATATATATATATATATATATATATATATATATATATATATATATATATATATATATATATATATATATATATATATATATATATATATATAGCAAGATGAAGACATTATTCTGAAAAGTCAATAATTATGACCCCCAACAATTAAATCTATCATAGACGTTCAAAATATGACAATTTTAAATACTACAGCAAAAGATTTCAGCCGACAAATATTTTAACTGAACCTTTATCGTTGAAATTTGTTTTATTTTGAATGGACGAACTATATTAGCATTATGAGGGCTGTTAAAATAATACTAATAAGAGTTTAACTAATATAGGAGATGTCAAGATAATGATGAGGTAATAATTCAATTAACCTTGGATAATTAATATACATATAATTGTACTGTAGTATTAATCAAATCAAATGCTATAAATCTAGACTGATATGGTCTCCTCTTATAAGAGGATTTAGATTAAGAGAAGCAGTAGATGAGTTGAAAAGTATGTTCGTAATCAGATTTCTTTTATTAATAAAATCTCTTACATTTTGAGTCGACTTGACTTCCTATCTCTTTTTGCAATCTTGATTTTCAACATCTAATCTAACGTAGCTGAAGTATGAGTATGAAGTCTTATCTGCTAGATTCTGAGGAGGCAATGATTCTGATGTCATGCATGTGAGGACAATAAAATACTTCATGTTACAAGCTGCAAGCACCATAGAGATCAACATTCACCAACTTGCAACCAAACATTCTTATGAAAACACGGTTTTCATGATAAAGTAGCAGTTTATAGTAGACATCAGGATGAACAAGGAACTGGTCTTTTTCTCGTGGGCGGTGGTAGAGTCTATCAAATAGGTCGGATGATCCAACTATAATGCACCATGTATGTATCCATTACTTTAATGTCATGCATAACAAGATGGCATGGCTCTAAGAATCCTCCTAAGCCTCTGGAGAACATCCTAACCTGGTCATTGTGAAGCGGGTTCATCAAACAGATGAGCTGCAGTGATGTGTGAAGCTGATGCACGCACTCAACGTTCCACAAGGAGACAAGCTTGTCATACTTGCTGGTTCAGGTCTTCATCATGCTTCCAAGCTCTGAGCTCCAATTCAGCCTGGTATGTAGAGGCCACAGAGAACACACCATGGGGCAAGAACAACTTTCATGAACACGGTCGTCGTCGTCATCATCTACCTCATAGATCCATCTAACCTAAGCATGTAGGAGGTAGAGTCTGCAATGCACTGAGCGAATGAGGACCGAAGAAGAGAGGGGAAGATGAACTGAACCGATCGTTTTCATGCTTTGGAGTCATCGATCGAGTGACAAATGACGCTGAATATTCGATTGATTGGAGGATGAACACCACCTCAAGAGGAGCAGTAAGCATGACCGGGCATTGATTCTGAGCATAATCAAAACAAAAGCCGTAGGCCCAATACATATCTGTCAAGGTGTCTCTGCTTTTCCACTAACCCACTTGACAGCTACAAGTGCTTCCCATTCTCCACCTTCCGAGTTACTTAGAAGGTAAAGTACGACACTTGATAGTTCCAACTTGGACTGCCAGCAACAAGCAAACAAGCAATCACCAGCCATGTGTGTACGTCTTAAAGGACAACTGTTTATTTGTAGGTCGGCAGGGTCAACTTGGGATGTCCAGAGCCATGAATCTGCTTAAACAAAAGTTTCACAGCACATCAGATTGATGGTCTGCAACTAGGATCTTTTGCATAAGATGATCTGACACTGCCTTTACAATGGCTTATCACTGTCAGGATGGGCGCAGCAATGCAGCAGGTGAAGTAGGAAGCAAAAGGAAGTACTCCTACCCCTCGTGGAGGGGCTTAGGAATGGAGATTCGTTCCAAAGGAAACTTATCATGCAAATTCCAGTGGTGATAAAGATGAGACAATTGGATAGCGAGAGCATAATACGACTCTCCTAAATCCGAAAAAATGAAACCACATTTTCTTTTGAGACAGACAGAAAGATAATTATACTTGTTTTGCCAACTGATACTATTAGATCTGTAATTAAACAGATATTTTCAGAAATTCGAGTGTGATCAATAGTGTTAGTTTCGATTTAGGTTTCGTTAATCCAATGTGTTAGTCCTGATCCAGCCTGATCCTCATTGGAATGGTGTCGCCTTTGTTTCGAGCCCGAGTAGGATACTTCACGTGTTTCTAATTTTGCTTCCTTAACACATGTTTTTGATTTAGATTCTGGTCTCAGCCAACTTAGGAGAGGTACCTCACATGATCCCCCAACGTTCAAGTTAATAGAGATTCAATATAAATGATAATTACTAAGGTATCGAACAAGAGTCATGCTATGTGTACCGAAGAAGGTATCTCAATGATAAATGATTAGGAAAGACATCATGTACCATGATGGTGGATATTAACTTTTTATTTTTTTATGACCAAGTAAAAAAAAAAAACCCTCTCTCAAGCCATAAATGGCATGGCAACCAGAGCATGTCATCCCAAAAAATTAAAAGCTGATATTTTGCTTGCTGTATATTCTGTGTGACAAGCTTCTGTTAAATCATCATCTCATCAGAATAATCTGAGATGACCTAAGTGTTGATTAAACAACATAGACTTGCATATTGAGGATGAGAATAACAACGAGGTGGCAAACACCATAGGTGATTAGATAAGAATTTTTTGTCATAGGCTATACAATTAGTCAGTACATGCAGTAATTCGAACCAAATGATGCTCGGCATGCAATGTCACTTTCTCTTTCATACACCCAGTGGTTTAAGCAAACAAGAAAGAATTTGGAAGCTATGTAGTAGAGAGCAGACTAGTGGAAGCCTAAGAGACTTAAAAGGCCTACATCACATTAGCCAACTTGGTCTTACCGATTAACTTCTTTAACAGATGATGCTTTCTTGTAGGCTTAGGGTGTGTGTAATCATTATGCCAATGCAACCATTGACATAGGCTTAGGCTTTTTAGGCTGCCAAATGGAATTGTGGTCCATGGAAAACTTATTGCATGTATAAAATTGTGATGTTGGAACCACCACATGAATCCTTCTAGATATAGTGGACATGTTCATAGCAATGTTGAAGATATTTTCTAACAATGTACAATTCACACCAACAAAGTGAGTTGATTTGAGATATAACCATGAAGATGGTTGTGATGGAAACCAAGAGATTAAATGATTGAGAAGCAGTTTTGAAGTCACATGGATCGTGCTATTCATGCACTACCTATTTAACATGTCTGGTTTAGTTTTCTATTAGTGTAGTTTACTATAACACCAAGCAGCAAAATAATATGACAAGTTGCTATTAGACCTAATTGAAAAATCATATAATAACCGTAACAATAATAATAATAATAAGATATAATGTTTCAACTATTTGGAATGATCTTTTGTCACCATTTAGTTTATCTAAGAGTACATACAAACCTTTATTTATAGCTTCCAGTAGAGTCTTTTTAAATCTCTATTTTATATCCTCACGTACCACTAATGCCAATTATCTCATCTCTTCTAACACTAATACATATAGGTTCTATTAGTATATTTTCATATCATCTCAAAACTATTCTCCATCATCTTATCATCGATTGAAGCTATACCCATTATTTATAATGAAAATATTTTCTCCTATATTTCTCGTTAACTTTGCATACTTCAATGTTCTATTTCAAATGATATAAATTTTAAGCATGTTGTTTCTTAATCATCAGACTCTTAGGTCTATTTAAAGCATAGTTGGTTTTACAATTATCTCATCTTCTAACTATAACACCCATAGGTTCTATAAAATTATTTTCATATATCGCAACATGATTATTCCTCATTTTATAAGCTATACTTAATTATTTATAAATAAAAATATTTTTTTCTACGTTTTCTATTAAATCTACATACCCAACGGTTCGATTTGAACGACATAAATTTTATAAATGTTATTTCTTAATCATTTGACACTTAGATCTGATAAATTTAACAATTACCTTATAGCAAGTATATATTTAGAGTCTTCCTGTTGCTTCATATCTCTTTGTCGCAAGTCCACCCTCTCAGGGCTTCTCTTTGTGCAATAACTTTGAGCTAACCCTCAAGAATTTTGCCAGGTCATAATTGTGCAAGAGGTTATGTCTTATGCAGACATCATTCCAGTTTAAATGAAGCATATATGTATATATATAGCAGAAATATAGTTCAACAGTATCACACCTTCCAAAAGAGAGTCTTGAAACACGTTTATGCACAAAAGAACATGAGCATACACCAAGTCTGGAAGCCACCAGGGCAAAGCAGCCAGAGTGAATGAATCTGAACCGGTCCACATGAAACATGGTTTGCCACCTCATACGTCTTCAAGCGGAAGCACAAAGGTTTTGGCTGGGAGCAGCGGAATTCCTTTGTGATTGCCCCAAGTCGGTACAAAACGGAGCCACCAGTGGGTGCTGCTGTTTCAAGTCTGTCTTATCACTGGCAGTCTACGGCTCTTGTTTGGATCATCTATAAAGCTTGGAAGATTAGCTCTCTCTCTCTCTACCCCCCCAAACCCCATAGAGAGCCTTTTTAAGAGGGTGGCAACTAGGATGTCTGGTAAAGGGGGATCATCCAACCAAGACGAAGACATGGAGCTAAGGAGAGGGCCTTGGACGCTACAGGAGGATACTCTCCTCACCCACTACGTTGCTTGTCATGGCGAAGGTCGCTGGAACCTCCTCGCCAGGTGCTCGGGTAATGCTCCATCTGATCTAGCTATTCGGCTAGCTCTCGCTCGACTGCGGTAAAGGCTAGCTTCTGCGTGGATTGGTCTTTCCTAATCTATCTCTTAGCTTTTGTTGATGATGTAGGTTTGAGGAGAACCGGCAAGAGCTGTCGTTTGAGGTGGTTGAATTACTTGAAGCCCGATATAAAGCGAGGTAACCTCTCCCCTGAAGAGCAGCTGCTGATCCTCGAACTCCACTCCAAGTGGGGCAACAGGTACTCGTTTTTCATCCATCTCATCTATCTCGTGCAAGTCCACAAGTTCCATGCATGGTGTTGTGTTACCTGAATGTTTTGTACGTGTAGGTGGTCTCGGATCGCACAGTTTTTGCCAGGGAGAACCGATAACGAGATAAAGAACTACTGGAGGACTCGGGTGCAAAAGCAAGCAAGGCAGCTCAAGATCGACGCCAACAGCGCAATGTTTCGGGATGCAATCCGATGCTACTGGATGCCGAGACTGCTAGAGAAGACGGCCTCTCCTCGATCCCTGCAAACTCCACATCATGGGACCGCCACCGCGGTGGCCGATCAGCCTCCGCAGGATCCTCTCCTGCAGCTTCTCCGACCGGGCATGCAATGCCAGTTTGAGAATCCTAGCTCGTATGAGCTCTCAGGCGCAGAGTTTTGCAGGCCGAGCAACTCCCCTGGGTTGCCTAGTAGTACTGTTCTCCCCCAACTCCCGGACTTGCCAGAGTTCTCTCCGAACCCACCGAATCAGCTCAATGACATCGAGTTCAATCCCTTCCATGGTAACAGTTCCATCGAGTTCAACGCCTATGGCTCAGAAGCCTGCGACCTGGCCTCCGTGACAGCATCGGCTGTTAGCTACCCGGCATCCAGTTCCTGTGATGCTAACAATGAGTACTGCATGAACAAGATTGGTGATAGCCTGTGGAGCATGGACGAACTGTATGTTATGCTGAAAAGCTACATGGAAGGGGTAGCATGTTTCCTTTAGCAGATAGGTCTTAGGGCCCGAAGTCCCACAACATGAATTCATGTAAACTAGTGTTACTGCAAAGTCTTGGGGGCCGAAAGTCCCACAGATGGACTAATGTAAGTCAGTGTAATGAGCTTGGATTTCTGCATGTGTTTTCTTTAGAAATTGAATGAGGCTCATCCTTCTCTTCGGAGTGTCTATCTTTTGCCGAAAAAGCTGATGGGATATGAAGTGGGAAATAGGAAGGTATAGATGGACTTCTTGACTGGAGTTCTTGGTTGGTGTAACTTTGGATGCCTGCATATGTTCTCTTTAGGACTTTAAGAAGACTATCCTTCTCTTCAAAGTGATTCTTTTTGGAAAGCTGCTGGAAATTGCTGTGGGTGATATAAAAGCATGGATGGACTTACTGACTAGTAGAATTCACAACACCAGCATGTGGTCATTTTTGGAATCGAACTGACATGGGGTTTTAGCTGGAAGTGGATCATGTACAGTAGCTCCTCGCCTTATCTTCTTCTTCTTCTTCATCATCATCATCATCATCATCAGGCTGTATCCGTGGATTTGTTCTTTGGTTTCAACCGAGAAAGCCAATCAAGTTGGCAAACCCTAGGAATTCCTCTTCAGGAAGTGTCTCTACATGATTGGATGGCATGACTGACATGACACAACCAAACTGGACTGGTGATGGGAGACAGAAAGGGGTGTGGTGTTTGGACGAGGGTTTCATGCTGGATTGGAAACATCCTATCCCAGTGTGATGGCTGAAGAGCTTTTGCTGCATCCCACTCAACCCTTGGAATCGCCCACAGCTGTTCTTGCTATCCTTCGAGTCCGACTCAGTTGATTCCCGTCCTACATAAGCGATACGTCTACGTGAACTCGGTTGAGTCCAGCCAATGATGTGTTTGATGAAATGATACAAGTAGCTGCAGTGACGACTCAATCTTTTGTGTTACGATCGGGTGATCTGGAAAATGTAGGCATATCGTTTGGATGTTCCCATGAATGAGTTGTCCAAGTGTTAGAATCCAAAAAACTGCCGAACATTTCTGCCGCTGCTTTTGGTTCCGAAGACCGAGACGCAGTTGCCGGCGATTGTCAATCCAGAAAACGAAGGCCGAGCTCTGAGTCACTGCCAAGTCGTCATGTTCTGCAAGAATCTGCTTCACGGATCCTTAATTTGCAAGAAGGGAGAAAAAAAAGGACAGATCCCACTTAGAGACTTGTCAGGAAGATAGACTTATCGGGGAGATGTACGTGGGGACAAACACCATCACTCAATCAAATCACCCAAGCATGACAGGCGACGCGTGAAGAGACTGAACTCTCGGAAGAGGCCACTTCTTATGCAGCGTTTTCTCCATTTACAACAGGCGTAGGGAAACAGGAGAGATTCTCCACCCACGTTCACCTAGGTTAGTGTACTCATGCATGCCATTATTATCCCTATACCCTAACTCACAGTCTTATGCTGAAGCTTACAATTAGATTCCTAAATACAATGTTATTATAAGGTCAAGGAATTCAAATATGAAAAAAATTCTAAAAAATAAAAAAACCTAATAATTAAATTTTAATTATTTTATAAATATTTAAATACCTTAGGTATCTCTAAATTTTAATGAAGCCTCGATGAGAGAGAATGTATTTATGTTTAAGTGTGGATCAACTCAATATAAAATGTAATCTTTATAACAAGCCTTCACACATTCCTCGTCTATAGTTCCAAACTAAATACACTTAATAACACACATAAATTTTAGGTAAATTTTTCATGTGTCCTGATATATTAATTAAGTGTAACATTTTTTTAAAGTGACCTTATAGTTCTCTAGATAACTTACTATATTCCTAATGTTATTAGAAAATAAACTTACCTATATTAACAGTGAACAGTGTGAGACTGCTGTAAATTAAGTCCAAATCTCTGCACGGTTATGTAAACAAATTAAGTACACTACACTCTTGTTTTCAAGTTGGGAGAATTTTGCTCTGCTTATCAAACCTGCCTGTCTTGTTCATTGGTTCTTTTTCTAGCAAAGTTTTGGTCATTGATTTATATGTTCTAGATCTTATAGGTTTTTTTTGACACTTCAATTAGTGACAGATAAGTTAGTTCTTGTTCAGTCTTCATTTCTACAGAAAGTCTTGGTGATAAGACTACACACAGGGGGGGACAACTAAGCCAATACTCTTTAAGTAGATCATACAAAGAGTGCACTGTTATCAACTATTCATGTGGCTAAGGTATTCGTCTTGTTCACTTTAGTTTCCTCAATTAGATTTTGGCATTTACTACTATATTTTCATTTGAATCAGACAAAGAAGGTGATGATGGTGTATTAGACTCACTTGTTAAGAAAAGCTCAAAATATCATCTGATAAATATGGAGAATGTCAGACTTTTAACTATTGATAACAAGCTCCAAAGATTGAATCTTATCCAGGTTTTTCCATATCTAACCTACACAGATAAAACTACTACTTTTGCCTCATCTTCTACTCTAACAAGATGGGATAAGTTGGTCATCAAATCAAATCAAATCAAATATTGATCAGCATAAATTGGACAAGATGGAAGAGTCCAATTGTTCTTCCATGCAAAAAACAAAAGCATGCCTAATGATGCTTGAGACACAACTGTGGATGTCTTCCCTGCTGAAGTTAAGATGGTTAGGGATTAGGGAGCATGTGACTGGATTGGATTTAGGGTTGATCTGAAATGAGTAGAAGACAAAAGTTACAAAAGAAGCTTTGCCTACCAACCCTATTTTGCCACTCTTTGTTCCTATGCAACCCAATCTACTTCAGCCAAGTAGCATAAGGTTGCCATCCACTTTGTCCTTCCAAAATTGCAGTTGTACCTTCAATAAGCAGAGGACAAATATAACCCAAGTGAGGTTGAGATATGTAGCACGCAGAAAGGACTGAAAATGAAGGGATAGGGAGACAACTGTTGTGAGCAGTGGATTCAAAGCCATGCCTCTCATAGGTTATATTGTCATGCTAATAGGTGGAAGAAAGATGAACATTTAGATGCAGGTTGAAATGATGTTCTTCCCAAAAGTCTTGGTGATAAGACGAGAGGCTTTTGGTGGTTGAGTTTGACCGATTCAAATCCTTTGACAAGCTTCTCTCGCAGTGCTTCCAAATGTTCAAGATCAACACTGCCATCGAGAAAAAGACAGTAAAGATCAGCTGCATTGCTTCAGCTAGTAGAATTCCTTTGCCATTGCCTAGCTACTTGGTGAAGACAGAGAGAAGAAGATGACTGAAAGATTTCTTTATGGTTTTAAATTGCTGCAGAAGCCACCCTGATTGTTCTATGACTGACTCTTGCTTGCTTATTTTGGTGCCACTAGTGGCAGTCTAATTTGATTTGACTAAACCGTGTAGCACCTCAAATGACATGCTGATAACATGTTGATAGGGGTATACTGTGGATCAATCATCCAAACATGTCATCACCTTGTGGTGCCCAAATAAAGAGGAGACGATAAAATTTTCTCTTACCATTTATGATCAGAAAAGCAATCATAATTTCTTTCTCACAATTTATAACTAGAAAGATAATTATAAGTTTTCTTTTTATCATTTATGACTAAAAAGTTAATCATAAATTTTCTTCTTATCTTTTATAACTTAGTATAAACGCTCATCTTTTTAACACAGTGAAAATGGACTTCTAAAGACTATTTGTTTTTAACTTGGGCGTTTGAGGGATTAGATCGAAAAATCTCTTTTGATTTCGGTCTTCGTGTAAGTGGCACTTTAGGTGCTTATTATTTTCACATTGAAAGCATCTCGGACAATCCTACACACGTGGGTTTGGATCACATTGTGCTAGTCAAGACATCAATGATATCTTTTTTAATATTAGACAGAGGCCTTGATGTTATAGGAATGTTTACTTATCAACTCTTAACGAATGCTTGAGTGAGGAGACCCTACCCATGACCCACAACACTTTCACTTGGGAGGACAGTAGCCTCCCTTTCCACACATGAATGCATCTGCCTCAGCACAAATGTAGACACAATACTAGCATCCATTAAATGACCTAGAGGTGACACCGAGTCACCTGCTCAACTCTACTGAAGCATTCCTAAATCTTACCCAGTAGGTGTAGATGTTAATGAGAATGATGTAAGTTGTTTCTTTGCTCTTGCCCTAGCTAAATCTCACCCACCACCTCAGCCATAGTCAGCAACTCAATCGCCACCGGCACTAGCGTTCATCGGGGTTCCCCCACCTAACATAATACCAACATCTTAATAGTACTCGAGGCCTATCAAACTGTCGGCTGAAGAAGCACTTCATTCCCCAACTATAGAGTTCAATGGACTGTCACACTACTACTTTGTTCCACCTAAATCTCAAACCCAATTGATAGATTCGATAGATGATGCTATAAGGATATAGCTATGATAAATGGACCAATACTTGGAAGAGATGCAATGAGAATTCCAATAATTCAAAGGAGAAGTGTCAACCAACCCCACCTTGGGTCAGTCATTATTCACTAAGGACATTTAGGAGGATTCGATCCTGGATAAATTTTGTCTTCCATCGATGGAGGCATTTGATAGTAATATTGATCCGCTAGAATACATCACTACTTTTCATGCTTAGATGTCATTATACGATATTTTGGATGTCTTGATGTGCCAAGCTTTCTCAAGTATATTAAGAGACCCGACATAAGAATGATATACACATCTAAAGTCGCTCTCTATTAATTCCTTTGTTCAGCTCGCTAGGGAGTTCGGACTTCACTTTCTTGGGAATATATGCCCGAAGCCATTGACGGTAATGTTTCTCAGACTTAGGTAAGGGGAGGAGGCAACACTCTTGAACTTTGTCAATCGTTTCACCAATGAGATCTGAGATGTGCACGATGTTCATTTGTCACTTGTAATACAGACCTTCATGATGTGACTCAAGCTCTCGTCTTTTTTTATCATTGGTATAAAGATCACTAATGATAGTACCCGAGGTACTTCAACAGGACAATTAAAACACCATCATCGAGGCAATGGTTTCGGATAAATACGAAGAGATATACAAAAGGTTGAGACAAGATCAACTACAATTTGCATTGACCCCAAGGTCATCACGACAAAGAAGAAGTGATTGACTTGAGTTGCCTCGCTCGAGGCTCGAGTAAACCCTTTTGAATATGATTAGAACTA